AATTCGATGATTTTTTTCGTGATTTCGAACACAAAACACGACTGTGCAGAAGAAAGCCGCTCAGAGTCTGCTTTTGTGGCACGAAAGGAGTCCAAAGAGTAAAAAGGACACACATGGCTTTGCCATATCCAATTAATGGAGAATCCGGAGCAGAGAATCAAAAATGAAACTGTTAAAAATATATATATTAGAGTACAGTACATTATATGCATCGTTAAATACATTTTGATATTATGTCTACGTTATGACAGGTAGCTCAATTTTTAGAAGATGCCTCACAATTTTTAAACAATACTGAAAAAATTTTATTTCGGAAATTATTCGAGGCATTGAGACATCGTCTAGACCTCTCGAAGTAAGGGCAGATTTTTTACTTCAGTGTGCATAAGTGGAATCGCCTGCCAGTTTAAGCGTCCCTCATTGATGCCCCTCCATCTCGTATTGCCAAAAATGACCCAGCTAATCAAAAACATTGAGAACCGTTGCCTCATATAATTAACGGATACATCGGATTTTTTTATCTTAAAAGTTGGCTCTGAAAAATCGGGCTACGTTTTTCGTTGTTGCTTGCTATATTTCCATGTAAATTGATCACTTTCAACCAACTAAAACTTTGATTAAAAATCAAGTCTCAAAAATGAATCAACAAAGTCTCTCTACAGCATTCGGTCACATCGTGACAAAAAAGACAAGCTGCTGAATATCCTGCGCCAGCAATGTCATCATGAATGAAGCAAACCTATTGAATCACGAGAGCTGGTGACCTTTTCCGTGTTCAAAGCATTATAGCAGAGTAACAGATGACGTGGCGCAAAAAAATAGACGTCTTTTGAAGACTCAGAAGTGCCTCCAGATGAGCTATATTAAGATACTTCTATGATTCAGATGAAATTGAGTAAGAGGGAGTCGTATACTGTGTTCGCAGCAACAAAAATCGTAATAAAGTCAACGCGTTAAATATAAATGCATGGAGCTGCTCATAATCGATGGCTTTATATATTTGAGTGAACACGGCACAATTATCAAACCAAGACATGCGGCAATGAAGCTATCGACGTCGTGGGAAAGTTATCCTCAGTTTAAATCGTCTTCCGTATTGCATCAAAGCTTAGGCACATTTCACGCCCCAGGCAACAGTGCACGATCCAGTTCTCGGGTTAAATTATCACTTTCCCTCTAAGTACAATACACTAGGAAAAATATGAAAGTCTGCCCCTTGCAAGTGCAATTCACACCTCGAGACACGCTTTTAATCTAGAATATGAAATCTCGCGCCTGCGGAATGAAGTGCGAAGTCAATGCCGCGAATGGATGGTAGAGAGAGCGAGGCAAGTTAAATGATTACTGGAATTATCAACTTCGTGTTCGGACAGCCGAACTAATTCGAGTCCCCGTTGGTCACTAACGACGGTCAAATGCGCGTGATAGCATTAAAATAAATTGACAGGAATTGCTCAGTTTTGGTAGGATGCGCACTGAAACCCCGTTCTGGTAAGCTGGGCGCACGCGACGAGTTTCCAGAAGAACGCCTCATCCTCCATGAAGGGAGACATACACACACACACATACACAAAAAAGAGAGAGAGAGAGAGAAATGTCTGGGCGGTTGGTTTCGTCTTGGGATTCGATTACGTAGCCACGCGGCAAGTCCAAGGCCGGAAGCATTCTGTTCCAAATTCGTCGCCTTTTCAGCCACTCGGTTCAGCGCATGGTCGTGATTGGCGGTGATTCCGCGGACTTTACAACCCATCGACCACCAAGGCAGACGGGACGCCGCGGAAGGCGACGATATGCCTGAATCGCCCTGCTTTCTCGACCATATGGCCGCTTCTGCGAAGTCGTTGAAGCGCGCGCTTGTCGAAATCGTCGACCGCCCGAAGGATGCTCGTAGGCGCAAAGGTTGGCCAACTCCTCTCCTGTCCGCGGCGGCAACAACGTGCGCCGCCTTCCGGTCCTCGGGTACTCGATACGCGTTCGATTCTCGGTCACGGATACCTAAGACTCCAACGTCAGGACGCGTAACCGCAGGACAAACGACTTCAAATCGCAAAAATGATAAGGGGTAACGTGAGAAGAGTAACCCAGAGAAAATAAAATCAATGCGAGGAGCATCGAAAGCTCCCGATGCGCAAATTCATTCTTTAATGAGTTCAAATCATTAATTGCAAGAATAACATGTTTCCTTTCATTTGCGCATAGTCGACCAGCGATAATTTCACTCTGCTGATTTTACGCGGCCGACCTTGGATATCCCTTTAATACTACTGTCTCCATTTCCCGTGTTTTAAAGCCACTCTTTTGATTCAAATCGGTTTTAAGATCAATACACTATGTAATTCTTCATCCTTCATTTCAGTCAGAAAATTCCTCCTGATATTAGTACTGAACTCAAGAAGCATCCAACAACCTGCTCAAACCTGCCCTGTGAAAATGGAAGGTAACAAAAGCTACGGGGATTTTCAGCAAAAAATGCCGAAGTCTTCCGCATCTCGGATAATCGGACATTACTTAGTTTTTCTTCGAAGTTAACGCTAATAAAATTTTTAAAGTGGATTGAAACACATATTTTACGATTCAGGAAATATTCCAACTCGTGTATACCACGAATTATTTTTTAAAACTTGAGTCGGGAAAAGTCGGTCGTGGAAAATTTTTGGAACAAGTCATAACAAGATTCAAGGTATTGTTTCAAGCTTTTCTTCGCAAAAATCTTGTCGTGCGTCTTGAACAGCTGTGCGAAGCACTAGATTGAATTCGCGTAATGATTGCTGCACGGTGAATTTTGTTTGGCATACTTTCACCAGTGCTTTCGTTTGTACTCTTTGTATTTATAGCTTTCGTGCTGAACGTTTCTTGCAGTTTGTGGCTGCTAACTTGTTCAAAAGATGAAGATCAACTGTAGAAAGTTGAGTGCAATCCATTTCCAAAACCTGTGAATATTGTTTCCACTAGAAAAAAAAGATAATTTTCAACAACAAAATTAAAGAAGATCTCGTTAAACGCTTGGTTATTGTGTGAAGTCTGTAACTTTTCGCAATAATCGCTTTAATTGTTTATTTTTTCAGCTTTTCTCCTTACTGAGTGACATCCGAACAGGCATGACCGAACCGTCGACCATCGAGGGTTAAACTGTTCTACAAACGGACCAATCCGGCGTGTAAAAAATCACGAAAATCGCCGAACCTCGGTCGTATTTTGCACCGAGTACTATTTTGATTTTTCAACGCCACTCGGAACGGCTCATAAATTTTCAGATCACGCGATGAACTGGAGCAGAGGATTTGAAAGTTGACGGGCGTCTCCGCCACACCTCGTACAACGGGAATGAGCAAACCCCATCTGCTCCATTGTAATTGCAGCTTCAATTGTACAATCGACATTCAACAGCCGTCGATCAAGGAAAGACAAGGGTTCGCTTGTAACAGCCTGCACCCAGACACACTGGTACACCGAAGTGATTGAAGTGATTTCGAGGAGAATTCTTGTTATAGAACAGTTTTATCAATACACGCAGAATGGCGCGCGTTGGCCAGAAAATCATTGTGAGGCTCTCTTGGTTTGAACATTTTCCAAAAGTGTAAAATATGCTCAGTATCTAAGGAAGTTCAATAATATTCACAATTATAATTTTTGAAAACACCGGCACTCAATCTATAGCTAGAGATAACCTTTTTTGCTTGCAGTAAAAAATTCCTCACAAGGAAAAATTGCAAGCATCACTACCAATGAAATAAATCACAGAAAATCGGTCCTCTTTAATTGTTGTCTTTGTCTGAATCTGGAAAAAGAAATTCTTAGCTTTCTTAATTTGAATGATTGACTCGAGCAACAATGCCAAAATTCACATCTGCCCAGTGAAAAGCCACACAGAATGTTTTTAGCACTCCATTGATTGAAAGAGCTCTGCTTTAATTTTTTAACAGACCGTGTGCGTGAAAGGGTTTTGGAATTATCGTTAGGGTGAAGATTGGGCGCCAACGACAAAGTGAAAATATGTCCGAGCTACGTTTCATAATCGGTTACGATGCACATGACTTATCTGCCTTGAAGATTAATGTTGGGATTAGAGGATAACGAACTGGAGCCCTCGCGAGGAAGGCATGTGAGAACTAATGATTAGCGACCTAAACCGGTCTGAACGTTCCCCCAAGTTCAAACCCAAGAGTTGATTTCCACATCACGGGATTCCATCAGGATCCAGGAATCAACGACATGCACGGTTTCTCGTCGCAGTTCCTTTTACCTTTCAAGAAAGCCTCGAGCAGATCAGATTCAATGTCAATTGTGGCACCGTCAATGCCACCACGCAGTCACGCACCCTCGGAACTCATCATGACTCTAAAGCAAAGCTCCGAATGGCGGACCAATTCCCAAGCAATGCGTCAAGCAGAACGGCGACAAAGGACGACCTGCGCAAGTTCGACCCTGTGAAACGCTTCCAAGACCATGATTGTTCTCTCGCTCTATTCTTTTACTCCATTCAACTCGTTGGCTTTCCGAGACAGTGTTCCAACGCCCTGCTCAGAATGCCATCACGTGGTGTAGGACCCATACTTCCTCGACTGCATGGTTTCCTGTGCCGCACCGCCGCAGCCCACGCATTCGATTTCCGAGCAGGTTAAATCATGCGCTCCCGGAATCCATCCACTTTCGCCATCGCCAACATAATATGCAGCTGGCCTTTCGGAAATGTCCAAAATTGGGCATCCCGCGGTTGGCCAACGCATTCTCACATTCACTCGCTCAGTTATTTTCCAACACGATTTACTTCATCGGTGCATGAGTTCACAGAGATTTCTTGACCGAGTAAACAGTGTGTTTCTCAAACCGTAATCTTTCTCAACCAGTCGCAGTCAGTGATGCATTGCTCACTGAAGAAATGGGTGCCGCGTGTAGCCAGCTGTCGCTGAACTAGTTAGTATTCAGCGACTACGGTTCTGAACACTGCCGATTTTGTCTAGTACTCTAGTCCTTGAATATACTGTACTGTACTCTCTTCTCTAAACAAACAGCTTTTGACACGTTTTCGCTAAATAAAAAAAAACAAAGGGAAAGTACAACTTTTATTGAGAAGTCCAAACCAATCCTCCCTTTTGGCAAAATGTTTTGACTCAGATCTTCCTACAGTGAATGATCTAATGAAATATCGTTCAGAACAGTGTTTTCTAACCCATGGTCCACGGACCAGCATTGGTCCGCAGAAGTTTTCTGCCAGTTTGACGGAAAATTCCTTCAGCATAATAAATGTTTAAAAGGTCTGTATTTAATCTAATAATTTATTTAGTCTGTAATTTTTAGCTGAAACTTCAGAAAGATATTAGCAGTTGAAATTATCTGAGGAAAGACCAGTTTGCTTTTTGATCTCCTAATAACACTTCCTTCAAATATTCACCTGCAGATATGAAGTATTTTAATTTTTCATCCTGAGAAACCTTTCTTTGACACCTCTCAAACATTGAGAAGACATTCTACTGAAGCTGATTCATTGGTTCTTAACCCTGGGACGGCAGAGAGTTCCTCGCCATCCTGTGGCAAAGTCGGAATTTTGTGGGGGGAGGGAAATTTCAATTTGACCAAAGGCCACTGAAGTACCCCCAGTTTTCCAAGGCATAAGTAAAGAAAACTCTGGGTACAGAAAATCCCATTGCCTCAAGAAATCCCCAGCATTATTCCTATGCTGGGAATGCTTGAAAAATGCCACCCAGTGAGGACATTTTTTTCTTTTGAGCCAACATTTTCTGCAGGATTATAAAAAAAATGTTAGACTTTTTCCTGACTTAGGCCTTGATTCAAAAATCTTTTTTTAATTTGCAGCCCTCATGGGGCCACAATTTTGCAAAAATATTCAAACTTTGCCACACAAGGGTTAACTCGATTTTTGCAGAGAGCAGAAACGTTCTAGGTGCCTGCCAAGAAGTCTTTCAAACAAAACTTTTTTGAGTCTACAAAAATTTTATGACGCATAGTTGGCAGAAAGTTTTAGGAAATCTGCCAGTCTGTGCGTTCAGAAGGGTTGGGAGCCCCTTCATTTGAATATGCTATGTTGTGCGGGTACATGACCCCAGGAAAATCGATTTTAAATTTTTAATTTATTGAGATTTTGCTGGTGGTCAGGATGTTCTAGAAACCCCAGTTTCTTCCCAAGAAGTCACTTGGTCGAGTTTTCTCTTTCGTCTCTCTACTGCCTTCTCCAACACTTGAAAAAAGACAGCAAAATAATGAAACTTGGGTATAAGACGCACCCCTAGGTTGCTAAAATTAGGTTGGTAATTGCACTGACAAGTTGACAGTAACGCGGGTAAATGCAAGGGGTTTTGGGAGTTCGTGTACTATAAAGCTGAAAAAGAATATATATATATATATTCCAGCGAGGACTGTCACGATTCTTGCACTTGTCGTTAGACGTGAGTCTTCCTTGACTTCGATGAATGTTGGATACATCAGGCATTCCTGCTGTCAAGGATATCATGGAGGGGAATCACTGAGGCTTATTTTCATGCAGAGCCTTTCGGACAGCCAGCTAACTGAGCTGACAAAAGTTAATGCGGTGATGATTATCTGAGAAACTGGAACTCGGATTCATTTCCAGACTACGATCAAGAGCCGCGTCGCATTTTACTCTCCTGATGCTAAACAATAATACCATTAGTCAAATTTTGACGGGCGAAAGAATCCACATTTTTCGTAATCACTTCCTAGTCTGATGCATATGCAGGTTTTGACCCTTCGCGTCTACTCGTCAATTAAAGGCAAAAGGGAGAACATGTCCGTTGATGAGCGTCATTCTACGAGCATATTCCAGCCTCAGAAGTTACAAGGAAAAGGGTTGACGAGCAAAGGTCAAGAGAAATGATATTTTCGACTTCCTGAATTTGTATGAGTGCTCCAGGTTGTAGCTAAACAGTGATCGTAGATTTCCAACGCTTTGGAGCAATAAGAAGGTACAATTGAGCTTGTTCGCGGCAGAGAGGGATTTTTTTTTCATTCGCTCGAGCATAAGATGCACCCCTATTTTCTATACAGTACTGTACCTCGAAAATCAAGACAATGTTGCCTCCGAATCCAAGACAAACTTCCACTCTTCATTAGATTTCTTCAGAAGAGTCTTGAATTTACTCAGTAAACTTCAGTTACCAGCTTAATCTGCTCAGACACTTGAAATACAACTTGGGAAAAGATCTCTCGTGGCCTCGAACCGCATATGGTGGTACGGATTTGTTGAATAATTTTAATATTTTGAGTTTTATCAGCAATCACGCACTTCCAATGCAGACTCCACTGATATTAAACCCATCACATATGATTTATACAGATACTTTTCAAAGCCATTCATAGATGAAAGTTCCAAGCGAATATCCGAGAACACATGGACGTATGGCAAACTATTAATCATTTTCACCCGCTTAATTGTGCGTGGCAGAGTACATGAAATGGAGGACATAATTTTGAAAGGCTTGAAGGTGAAGAAAATGCTGCATAATTCGGCCAATAAGTGGATCTCGGGAAACCTTGAGTAAGAATAATAACTCACCCAGCGCCATATGCGATGCAGCCGGTCTTGGCATCAAGGGCCAGCGAGGAGTTGGAGGTGGACGTCAGACCAAGCACTCGCTCGAGCTTCACCTGCAACCAAATCAGTCTCAATGAAATTCTCTCGTCGATTCCAGCAGTGTACAAGGATAATTTGAAAGTTACAAAACGTCGAAGCGTTTCTGTGTCAAACCAGAGGAGAGAGAGAGAGAAAGAAAAAAAAGAACGTCGACGCGGTCGTGCTCAGCCATTTTCCACGCCTGTTCGGAGTCTATACGTATTTCCTGCCTTCGTCGACAGCGGAACACAAGCCGCGTGCTGGCTTCCGAATGAACCACATCCATCTTTTTTGAAAAACAACAACAACGTCTGCATCAAATTTAGCTCATCTTGAGAGACTACACGAAGTATTTTGTTTTCCTTTGTAAGTTTTCTTCCTTCCTCGGAGAGTGCACTCGAAAATGAAGTGCAGCTCATGCTAAGACATCGGAAAATTCTTCATTGCGGCCCAAACTCCAGATAATCTGACATACGCAAGAAGAACACGTTGAATCACGAAATAAGGGAATTGCATGGACTCTTCCTATCGCGTGAGAGCCTCAGAACTGCCCCATGTTCTGATCAGGCCTCAACAGGGAAAGACTTGATGATTTTTCTTCACTTATTCAAACATTCTCACAAAGAGATTGAGGCAAGTTTGGAAAAAAAATGAGCCCGTCTTTGCATCCGACACCATTTTCTGCGGCCGCGTGCAGTCAAATCAGTATACCGGCTTGTTTGTTGCACGCGAAAGCGGTGCCTATAAAAACAGTATTTATTTTCGGTCTCAAGAGGAAAACAGAGGAATCGTTTGAAAATAAAAATAGTCGTTTACGAATATCATAACCTTGACCACAGACGTACGTTGAAGCGTCGTAAATGTTGGCTTCATACTATAGTCGCAAAGGTTCGATTTTATGAGAAGAAATTAGATGGAATACGGGACCATCAATTTTATCAGCCTTGAAATTTTCATTGGTCGTTTCATATATTCACGCAAATACGTATAGTGCGTAATTAATTGCAAAAAAAGCAGCTTCGTTTCTTAAAATTAGACGGCTTCGTTTGCCATGATTGGTTGAATGGGACCATTTTGACAAGAAGTTCATAAGCAAAACGGGCGATATGAATCCCAAGTATAGTTTGTACCAGCGTATCGGCTGCACTTCCCGGTAATTCTGTCTCATTTTTCAAATTCAAAAATTTCTTGACGTGATACAGTTTCTGCACGAAATAATTTATGAAGTCCGTAGAAAAAATCATTGTTCGGAGTAAATCAGACTGTTCAATGCGCTAAGCGAGTAAGTATAATTATCGTTCTTCATTTACTAATAACATGGCAGCTGATCGCCCGTAAACTGCACGCGACGTTGGAAATTTAAAACTTATAAATTGATGGCATTCAAAAAATGTTCTACTCTTAAACTTCTCGACTAGTGAGACGAACATTTACGATTTTTCAACATTCGTCCGTGCTCAAGGTCTTGATTTCCCTCCTGATTGATTGATTTCTTGTCATAGTATTCCTTCGCTTTTCCTGACCGCGAATAACTGAAACTGAATTGTTTTTACGAGTTGCTTTCGACCGAAGGTAAACAGAGACGATTGGCTTGCAGAAATTGCTCAAATTCATTCAAGCAATAATGATTTCCTCGAAGAAAATGGAGAGCATTTCCATTGGAATACATTTGAATGCCTCTTCGTATGTGCCTAGCGCACCTGCACTTTTTCTAGCCAACGTTTGGCAAAAAAGGGTTCGCGAGATACAATAAGCGGTTTGCAGTCAAAAAGCGAAAAGAACTTGAATTGGATGCTGTGCTGGGATATCAATTGGGTATGACTTTGAAATGCCCGGGACTTGTTTTCAATATTTACCCGATCTTCGCGAAGGCAACACATCAGAACGAGAGTGACCGCGGATTCCATATTCCATTCCCGTCCCAATGCCGTGCCGCGCTGGCCCGAGATGGATCAATATTTCGTAACGGTGTCCACAAGAGCCGCCCTATTTGACAACGCCGGGTAATTCATTCTTCGCCCACAGCGGCACTGACCTTCAACTTTGCATGCCAGAAAGGGAATCGCATCGTCAGTGGCTTACGCTCGATCAGGTCTGACATTTTCCGCCGGCTGCCTCGCCGAATGCGTCATCAAACGCTTGCCGCAATTAGGGTCTCAACCCCCCCCCCCCCCCAAACAGTATCCCAGAGCAAAATGTTGCCATTTCCACGCCTGCGTCGACGAGAACACAATGAAGCGTTCATTTCCTACCCATTGTTCTGATGGGTATCCGTTAATGAAGAAGCTACTGGACTCACGCGCATGGCGGGAACTTGGTGGTTTCCCACACGCGTGGCAAAGCAGGAAAGCAGATAGCAGCTGTTCCGAGTCATGGCTTATTAGGACCCAGCGCTTGTAGAATTATCAAGATTCTGTTTCGTAACTTGATATCAAGACAGCACTGGAGAGAGAGTTTTTCTCAAATTTCCCGAAATTGCGGGTGGGCTGTGCTGCGCGGAATGCGTCTCAGGCAGCTCGCTACGCCTAATTTTACGCTTTCCTGCGCGACGCCAATCACTCCGATTTCCCACACGAGCAGGCGAGATTAATTTACGGGGCGGGTTTTTTACAGCGAAAACAAACCGGTGTTTGCGCATACCGAGCTTTCTTGATGCTTGCCAGCGATGCAGGGACGATTTTCTGAAGCGACAGCGGGAGCGGATTTTCCTCCTCGCGTTTCCTGCCTTCATGGATTTTATCCGCATGCTTGCCTCGCTTAACCTTCGTGCTCACGCCGAGAAGTACAGGTACGATGTTAAATAATTCCAGTAATTAGTTGGGGTATTTGTTGCCGCTTTGAAAGCCTTTTCATGACCGAAATGCGTCCGTGTTGATGCTCGGGACTGGAACCATTTCGCTCCCTTGGAAACTCGCGGACCAATTTTAATTCGTTTTGGTTGGAGGCATATTCCTGCTTTGTTCGCTTTCCGAAAAAATTCATAAGCATCACAGATTTCATGTGGTGAATCTTGACATTTTTACACATGCATGCGCTAAAACACGTCATTCATGCGAATTTTGCCCTGCCTTTTCCTCGGATAATGAGTCGAAACACTCAAGTATTGTGCACAGGTTGCGCATTTGTGCGGCCAAAAATTGAACGGGAATTGAAACCCAACACAAATCTATCTCCGAAAAATCTCTCAGCTTTTCCTTATTCTCATCAGAGATTAAACTCAAAGTGAGTCTGTTTGTTTCGCATTCCTGAGTATTTTACACAGAAATAAGTACTTTTTTCCTTTTTTTCTGCAAAAATCTCAGGTATAATCCTGCAAGTAGGGTATTCGGTGGTGCAAGAGATAAGCAAGCAAAATCGCTATTTGGTTTAGAATTAGATGATCAAAGAGATGGAAAAGAATGACAACGTCTGAATACAGACAGACAGTCGCTCAAATATCGATGTAAGGAGACTTCAGCTTCCAATTAAAGAGAAAAAAAAGTAAAACGAACATCGTGTGAGTGTAGTGTGCATGCGTGGCGGGAATTCCGTTCTGGTCGAATAAGGAAACTTTGAAGTCTGAGCATTCGTTTCGACATGGACGTTTTTCAACATCCTTTTCAGAAAATGTGCAAGTCAGGAAGAGCTATTTACATATCTTCTCGCGCGCACCTGCTGCCCTCGTTGTAAAATCCTTTCTTGACCCTGAACTTCCAGTATGCAGACTCCTGAGCTGCCCTGCTTCGCCAGAAATAGGCAAGCGAGTGGGGGAAAAAAGGTTGCGTCGGTTCGAGAAGCCTTAGAAGACGTTGCGACCGTATGAAGTGATCTGAACTGTTGGGATTCTGACCATTTAAGGGAAACAATAGAGGCTGAAAAAATATATCTGAAAGGACGATCGATTCAGATTGTATTATCGTTTCTTCGATTTTCCGCGCAAGTATCGGAGGAGCAGCTCTCGCGTAGCATAGGGGTCAGGGGTGCGCAACCTTTCCGACTCACGATCCGAATATGGACTTCATTCAAGAGAACAAACGACACCTGTTCCTCGCTTCCTCTCTGTCCCGAAGAATCTTCAAGATTGGCGAATTAAAAGATCATATATTTTGATGATCAAAATTCGGTAAAATGTAACTCAATTCGTAAACATGGGAAAAAAATCTGCACATGATGATTTTGCCTACGTAAAGAAACTTCAACTAAATGATCATCGAATAGCAAAGAATTTATGGAATGAAAATGCCTTTCTGAAATCATGCAGTCTTTCCACAGGGTTCGATACATTCAAAAGGTATGCCGATCAATTTCTCTTGGCACATCGTATTCAACGACTTGCTTCAATTATTTCTTTACCATGGCGACATAAAAGGAATGATTTAAAAAAGTCATTCTGGGATCAGTTGTACACCCAGATCTCCCGAAAACGTGAAATTTTGTCAGCACCCAGACCAGAATTTCTTCAAGCATTAAACAGGCGAGTAAAATACAAAACCGATGTACAGCACATCATCGCAATCAACGAAAATCCCCTAAGAATCAGATATATTCTGCCCGCAGCGTTAATCATTTCGCGGCGGGTGGACTCATTTCAAGTATCTACGGGTAATGAAGTCGTGAGGCTAGCTTATAAATTTCGCAAAAATAGGCCAACATGATGGTATTCATGAGTTCATCAGCTGATATAGTTCATGTAACTGCCAAGCCGTCTAGCTGGTGCTCAAAGCTTCAGATTAATTAGTCGGAGAAATTTATACACTTCGAGACGCGAAGCTTTCGAATACTGTATTCGCAGATGGAGTACGAAGAATGGTAGTTTTGTCAGAACTGCGAAAGAAAGTTCGCCGGGTACCTGAGTCTCTCAGTCAAAATCCTTCAAACTAAACTGAGATCAATAACAAATCATACAGCCAGCCTCTCTTCTGGAAATATAGATTTTATAAAATCAAGCATTTGCTTTCAATCATCAAGATACAAGCATTTAATTATAATTTTGTCGTCAGAGGTGAAATACAGAGTATACCCAATAAAACGATACAAATTATCCGTATTCGTAATCTTACATGAAAGTTGAGTCGATTGTTAATTTCAGTTTTTTTTAATACTGTACTTGATGGTAATCAAACAGATCGGAAATTCGTAAAACACGGCAGTGGGGCCGGTATAGAGCTTACTTCCTGATAGTACAGTACAGTATTCCCTTCCAAATTCGACCCTCTGTCTATTCTCCATTTCAACTTGGGTGAACAGGAAGTGGATAACATGTAACTCTGTGATATGCATGTCCAGCTGAATCTAAGTTGTACCAAC